TCAGTGTGGTTCTGTCAGTGTGGTTCTGTTAGTGTGTTTCTGTCAGTGTAGTTCTATCAGTGTGGTTCTGTAAGTGTAGTTCTATCAGTGTGGTTCTGTAAGTGTGGTTCTGTCAGTGTGGTTCTATCAGTGTGGTTCTGTTAGTGTGTTTCTGTTAGTGTGGTTCTGTCAGTGTGGTTCTGTCAGTGTGGTTCTATCAGTGTGGTTCTATCAGTGTGGTTCTGTTAGTGTTGTCTTGTCAGTGTGGTTCTGTCAGTGTGGTTCTATCAGTGTGGTTCTGTCAGTGTGGTTCTATCAGTGTGGTTCTGTTAGTGTTGTCTTGTCAGTGTGGTTCTGTCGGTGTGGTTCTATCCGTGTGGTTCTGTTAGTGTTGTCTTGTCAGTGTGGTTCTATCAGTGTGGTTCTAACAGTGTGGTTCTGTTAGTGTGGTTCTGTCGGTGTGGTTCTGTCGGTGTGGTTCTATCAGTGTGGTTCTGTTAGTGTGGTTCTATCAGTGTGGTTCTGTCAGTGTGGTTCTGTTAGTGTGGTTCTGTCGGTGTGGTTCTATCAGTGTGGTTCTGTTAGTGTTGTCTTGTCAGTGTGGTTCTGTGAGTTCTGGTGGTTCTGTTAGTGTGGTTCTGTTAGTGTGGTTCTATCAGTGTGGTTCTGTTAGTGTGGTTCTGTCAGTGTGGCTCTGTGAGTTCAGGTGGTTCTGTCAGTGTGGTTCTGTGGGTTCTGGTGGTTCTGTGGGTTCTGGTGGTTCTGTTAGTGTGGTTCTGTTGGTTTTGGTGGTTCTGTTAGTGTTGTCCTGTCACTGTGGTTCTGTGAGTTCAGGTGGTTCTGTCAGTGTGGTTCTGTGGGTTCTGGTGGTTCTGTGGGTACTGAAACCCAGCTGCAAACCCAGGTCCATCAGTCTGAAAGCGTCAGAGTTAAAGTTGGATGTGGTTGTATCTGAGAGTAGTTCTCTTCATGTTCTCTGAGCAGGAACTCTGTCTGTTTGATTCGGTTCTAACTGGTAGAGTTCATCAGTTCCTGAACTTGTTCTCTGTATGACAGCTGGTGGGCGTCAGCACTGCTTCAGATAAAGCTAGGCCTTTAATGCAGACACACACGGTGGGCTTTGAGAGACAAAGGAGAGAAGAAATGGATCCAGATGAAGGAGTTGGGTCAGATTGTCATCGACGTTCCTGCTGCTCTGACGCTCCTCTCCTATTGGCTCTGGTCTGAATCAACACATCTGAGCATCGATCAGCCTCTCCTCCTGCTCCACACATGCCTGAACACACAACTTCTCTGTTTGTGTCTTAGTTACGGGTCCAGTGGACCGGGTCACAGTGCAGCAAGATGAAAAGTGGAGCTGTTTTCCTGTCAGAACCGCTTCAGTCCGTCCTGATGAAGTAATAAAATCTGCACCTTGTTGCTCACCTTTGCTCCTAATGAAAACAGTCATTAGTGACTGGTCTCTGTGGAATGTTGGGTTCTGAATGTCGCTGAATTACACAACCAGAACCAAACAGACCCAAATAGACTGAACATGGTGAAACTTTCAGCATTCATGTTGTCTTTTTTAAGTTTTAACAGTTAGATGTAAACAAGAAACCTGAGGACTGAAAATGACATCAGAAAACATGGCAGAAATATTTAAAGGCACCAATAAATAAATAAATAAATAA